AAAACTGGGCACAGGCTACATGAAAAATATCAATAATTCTAAAAGATAAAAATTTTACAGTGAATATAATCTGTCTGAAATGCAAACAATATGGAATGATTAATGAAATACAAGGTAAAATAACCCAAAATACAAAAACAACCCTTCCACTTAGAGATTATAAAACACTGTCCTAAATAGCTAATGAATCAGAAAAAGTATTTAAAATTATGATTGCACACATTTGAGGAATTAACAAAAATGATAATCAATAAACAAAACCTTACAAAAGTCTGTTAAAGCTGTGCTGCTCACTACGAAATGTAAATAAGTGATGCAAGGGTTCTTCTACTCAATACATTTAAAAAGAATATAAAACCAAAAATAAAGATCAACAAAATTTTAGAAGCTAGAATATAACACTAAAGACAAGAAAATAATTAATTGCAAAAGAAAAAAAAGTTTAATTGATAAACTCAGTACTTTTTATTTTTTATAAAGGAGAAATAAAATATTTTTAAAAAATCAAAAGAGAACCCACAACTAAACAAAGTTGAAAATAAGAAAGAAACCAGGAAGATAAATACTTCAGAAATATGTGGTTCTATGATATATAATTCAACATACTTTTAAAAATTCAAAGAAAGCTAGCAATTTTTTCTGGGTAAAAATTTATCAAAATTAAAGAATTTAAATATCTAAATAAATGTCACTACCACTCATTTGTCAGTGTGTCATCCTGTGGTATCTTACACGTTGCTATGATGCTAGAAGCGATGTCATTGGCATTTCCAATACCAGCAGGGCCACCCATGGTAGATAGGAATCAGCAAAGCTTCCACCTTAAAAAACTGGCCAGTGAAAACCATATGAATAGCAATGCAACATTAATATAGTGTTGCAAGATGAGACCCGAAGGTTGGAAGACATTCGAAATATGACTGAAAAAGAGCTGCCACCTCAAAGTAGAGTTGACTTTAATGACATGGATGGAGCAAAGCTTTGGGGACTATCATTTTTTGATGTGGCATGACTCAAAATGAGTAGAAACTGCTGCAAACATCCATTAATAATTGGAATGTAGGAAGTGTGAAAATAGGAAACTTGGGAGCTGGACAACGAATCAGAACTGAAGCATCTGAATTAGGGTGTTGGCAAAGGACACTGAACATACGAGGGGGCTTCAAAAAGTTAATGGGGGGGGGGAATCTAGTATCTTTGCATTCCATTTTTTCACAAACTTTCTAAAGCCCTCTCACATTTGATTTTCCCCCTCCATCCAGAAAGTATTAAAGTAAGCATCTCTTGGATAAATGAATGTCTCAATCAATCCATCAACTGTTGACTTTGTTGAGTTTGGGTGATTCCAGCTCCAACCCGCTCAACTTGATGCAGCTTTGCATGACTCCCTCCTGAGTTGATTTCGAGAGAAGACACAGAAACCCTGCTCAGAAGTTAGTCACAGATGCACACGCTACGTGTGGCTCTTTTTATGACTGTTCTCAGATTCATGGACTGGGTGTCCTTGAGTTCATGCTCAAGAAAAGGGACATTCCATCACTGGTGACAACATTAGCTAGGAGTTCCTGGGTTTTGTAAATGGTGAGTGTGCTCAGTTCAAGTCCACCCAAAGGTGTCTCTGAAGAACGCACTAGTGATCCTCCTCCCTGAAAATCCACCATTGAAAACCCCACAGAGCAGTTCTACTAGACCACACGTGGTGTCACCAAGAGCAGAATCAACTGAATGTCAGCTGTTTTTGCTTGTTTTCACGATGGGGAATCCTACCTATGTGGGCTTCCACATGTAACAAGCCTGCTGCTGATGCAAGGCAAGGCAGTGGGCAGACATTAGCATGATGGTACCCAGCTAGCATCCTGGGTAGCTGATCCACAGAGGATGCTGACTACCCCTCAGTGTCTCCTACATCAGGCCCTTGTGCTACCCAATCAGTTACCTGGGGTGAATGAGAGGCCCCAAGCAGCAGAGCTTATACCAGCTTGACCAGGGGCTGACCCACAAAAAAGAGCAAATAGCAAAACCTCTGAAGCCCAGGCTTCCCCAAGTCATCTGAGCTGACATGGGCCAGCAGCCTCCAGACTTCACCTGCCTGATGTCTTCTTCTTGCTGGCTTTAAGCTCAGAACAGCGGCACAGCCCTGCTCAGAGCCCTTGGATGCAGTTAAGAAAGTACGCTCAGTCATAACTCAGCTGGTACGTGCAGAAAAGGAGATAAATATGTACATAGAATGTCTCTTCCATCAGAAAATAAATGGTCCTGCTCCCAGCCAAGAGGCTGAGTTACGCTTCTGAAGGGCAAACATAACATCGCACCTCAAGCAGAAAGTGCTGTCTTCACTAAGCCCAGAGCGCAGATGCCGTCTGGTGCTGAGGAGGCCCACCTTGGCTCTGGGGTTGTCAGAATCACTCCTCTTTTCTCTCACCTGCTGAAAAGAGGCATCTAGGTCCTGCTCCAACTACCCTGTAATTGTTTAAATAATGCCCTAAGGTACTCAGCTACCACCAACTGTTTTTCTGTGTATCACACGATGGTGGCTTGCATAATGCTATGATGTTGGATGTTATGCTTCCAGTATTTCAAATACCAGCAGGATTGTCTGTGGTGGAAAGATGAGGAAGAAAGACCTGGCAGTCAGCTACATCCACAATTAGCCAATGAAAACTGTATGGATCACAACTGAACACTGTCCAACTTGCTTGTTATGGACGTGTCAACAATCCCTGGAAACGTTCTTCTGTCTTAAAAGAAGTACAACTAGACTGCTCCTTAGAAGGAAGGATGGCATGTCTTTTGGACATGCTATAAGGAAAAACCGGTCCATGGAGAATGACAGCATGCTTAGGAAAGCAAAGGGTCAGCATTAGAGAGGGACACTGTCCATGAGAAAGACAGTGACTATAACAATGGGCTCAAAGACAGCAATGGTTGTGAGGATGGCACAGAACCACCAGGCAGTGTCATTTGTACACAGATTGCCAGGAGTCAGAACTGACTCACTGGCACCTAAGAACACAAGGGTATGTCAGTCAGGCTCCTTGGGAATGGGAAGGGCCGACATCCAGCCAGTGACCTTCTTAAAAAGCCTTGTACCCTAGCAGTGGCCCTAGCGGTCCTAGCTGCGACAGATTTAACCAACGAAGAAAAAAAGGAAACTGTCTACAGAAGCCAGAAGCTTCCGAGGATCCCCTCTAGGTCATTCAACACTGTTTTAGTGGTACAGATGGTTCATTGCTAACCAAACGTTGGTGGTTCAAACCCATCCAGTGCCTCTGCAGAAGAAAGACCTGGCAATTTGCTTCCAAAAAAACAGGATGGCCAAAAAACCTCCTCTGAGGTCACCATGAGTTGGAACCAACTCTAACGGTTTGGTTATTCATAGCCAAAGTTGGGGGGGGGGGGGTGGCCAGGTGAGGGAGATGGAAAGCCAAGATTTGTGAAAGCCCCAAGTGATTTCGAAAGGTCTCTTGGTCAGTCACTTCGACATCGTCAAGTTTCTCAAAAGACGCAGGAAGCACTGTCCGTGCCTCAGTAGGCCTAGCCACAGGAGCCTCCCAAGCCCTCCTGCTAACTGATGCTTCGGGCTGTGGGCTGTCCTTCCCAACCTGCTCACAGTGGTGATCCTCCCAATGAACACCCATCTACCCTAATGCCCATTCAGAGCAAAGACTCCTGATAGGGCAGGACAGATGGTAGGTGGCAGCTGAGTACCAAATCCACCCACCCTGGCCTTGACCTTCTTCAAGGTCAGCACCTTCTGTTGGAGGGGCCAGGACCTCCTGGGCTCTACTGCCCATGTCTGTGTCCTCCATCCACACATCATTTTTAACTGACAGATCCAGGGAGCTTTGCTGTCCTCTTGGGGCACTGGCCTGTTCAGGCCTCACTAAGAAACCACTGTCCCTAAGATGCCTGACTCCCCTGCTCATGCAACATCTCCCAGCTGCTCTGTTGGACCCAGCACCCCAAGGCCAGCCAGGAGCCACTGCAATGAGCATTCCCTGAACATTCACAGAAAGAAAAAAAAAAAGCAAATGCATCGGACAAGAGGAGGGAAGGTTCTCCAAGGACCTGACTCCTCGCTTCCCTCATCTCCACCCAATAAAATGGAGGGGCAGCAGGCTGTAAAACAAGCCACTGCACGGTGGTTTGGACCATTGCACTTGAAAGCAAAGATGCCGACCACCTGGGACCATTGCGACTCCTCTCTCTTAGAAAGGGCATTCCTGCATTATGTTGTTAAGATGCTCCACCACACAGAAGGCAACAAGGGCAAAAAGTAAGGAAGGCAGGCAGATTCCAGTTGGACCTCAGCAAATGTCCCACCCAGGTGGACATCTGTTCAACCATCTCACTGGGCCTCTTAGTCTGGAAGCAATTCTTTCTTCCCCTTATTTCCTCATTATCTTTTGAATCAGGGGTTGGTTTACCCAGAATGCAGTGGGGCACCCGCTACACTCTTTCCGATGGGTTTAGTCATTGTGTTCTCGGTTTTCTTTCCATCCCTAGCCTGTCATGAACCCCCAAGGGCTGGACTTGCGAAAACAGGAGCAGAGGCAATTAAAGTAATTGCTGTGCACTCCCACCTAACCACGGCTTCCAGGTGATTCTGGTCTGGATGGGATTCTAGCACATGGCCACACACCAAGACACAGCCATTAACAGAGCGAGCCAAAGCCTCCCATACAGCTGGGCCCCATTGTAAGTGACAATATGGAGCATGGCTGGAAATAAAGATGCCATAAACCAGACACCATAATAACGCTGAGAGAGTCACAGACGACGCCCTCCCTCCCCGCCATCAGTATCCAAGGAAACCAAAACATTCACCATCAATGTTTCTGGTGACAAAGTTTGTCCCACACAAAGAAGTCATTGAGGTGAAATCTGGTCTCTGAACTCTTTCCCATGGCACCACAAGGCTCAGCCCTGCCACTACCGCCCACGACTGTCACCTTGGATTCACAATCGCCACAAGCATCTCCCTCGGGGTCATCCCTTACCGTCCAATTCCTCCACAGAGATGTTTGCAAGCTGCTCGCTGTCGCTGCCGGCAGATAGAGAGCGGTTGAGGTAATTCCCCTTGTACAACAGGCCGGCGGTCACATGGTGGAACGGCATCTTCTCCCTGGCCACAGAGGACGGGGACAAGAGAAAGACAGCATCATTTCTTCCATCCCACCTCTCAGACAGCGAGAGCTACTTGTAAAATGATGACAGATCTGGAAGGCAGGACAGAGAATTCCCAGGGTCCCGTGGCCTGAGCAATTCCCAAATAATCACGCTTTCGATCTCTCCCTTCACTTCGCACGTTCCTTCAGTCCTCCCCTTTAATTTAATTTCAATCCTTCCGTTTGATTAATTAGGCGATGGTGGTTCAGTGCTAGATTGCCTGCCTTCCACGTAGGAGCCTCGGGTTCAAGTCCCACCTAATGCACCCCATGAGCAGCCAGCAGCCAGCACCCATCTGTCAGTGGTGTTTGGCATGTTGCTAGGACACTGAACAGGTTTCCAGACTAAGACAGACTAGGAAGAAAGATGTGGCAACCCACTTCCAAAATCCAGCCAAAGAAAATGCTATGGATCACAAAACTCTGATCCCCCATCAACCGCGGACCAGGCAGCACATGGAGCCGACTCAAGGGCAGCTTACAACCACAAAGAATGAAAACGCAAGTGAAGGAGAGAAGGGGGCAAGGCAGGTAGAGCGCAGGTCTTCCCCCAGCAAAGCGAGCACAGCCCCAGCCCTCGCATTCCCCACAGGTTCTCTGTCATGCTGAGCAAGTCCAGGAACATTCCAGGTTCCCTCTCCTAATCTAGAAAATGGAGCATGAGGTTTGATAGACCTCAGAGAGGAATCAGGACCAACAGGCAAGAAAGATAACCTGCCCACTGCCACTGTCCAGTCGATTCTGACTCACAGCGACCCTACAGGACACAGTAGAACTGCCCCTTAGGGTTTCCCAGACTGCAAAGCATTATGGGAGCAAACGGTCTCATCTTTCTCCTAAGGTTTGGCTGGTAGGTTGGAACCACCAACCTTATAGTTAGCAGCCCAATGTTTAACCTATATCACCACCAGTGCTCCTTGGCAGGACTGATAGGATCTCAAATTCTAGCTCCCGACAGAGCTCTCTGAAGTAAGCTAGGCAGGACTGTAAGGAGGTGAGCTCCCGGTCACTGGAGGCATACAAACCAAGGTTGACAGCCTCCCTGCCTGGGAGCAATGGCCCCTAGCTCTCATCATTCTCCATGTAGTGTCCCTTGTGCACTGAAGTCTGAATCCGTATGGTGAGCTGGGAGGGATGGGTAGCATGAGGGCACAAAACTCCTTGAGTGCTAGGGTGTAAGTTTATATGAAAAGCAGCCAATTGAATGGCAGTCTCTGAGCGTTCACGGTCCTCAGACCGTACTTCTCAAGTTCCCCGGTCATAGAATGCTGAAACTGGCAAAGACTACAGGGAAATCAAGGCTTCATCACCCTGTTGACAGGCCAACAGGATGCCCCTCCTTTAACGCACACCAGCATGGTCTCGTGTGGGCTGAGTGCTGCTCACATAGAGGTCAACCAGATGGAGCCCTGGAAGCCCAGGGGCCTGACCGAGAGACCAAAGTAGATCATGTGAGACACTCCGTTCTAGAATCCAACTCTCCTAAGATCTATTTTGATGACAACGAACTCAGTGAGGCACCAGACATTTCCACCCGGATGTCAAAATCTCATTTCAAACTTAAGATGTCTGAAAAGGAATTCATTATCTTCTCAGAAATAGGCCACACTTCCTGATTTCTCTATTTCCATCAAAGGTACTTTTCACTCAGCAAAACAACTGGGACGATGCTCATAGATGCTCTGAGCCCCGAAAAGTGAAACAGACATATGCCTGCGTCAAGAGCCAACTGCCAACCTCCAAGCCACTCTCCACCCTTTCCATGGCTAACAGAATGCAAATCCACAGGCCCACAGCTAACGATGCAAGGATGCAAATGACAAAGCACATACAGTGTTTGCCAATTATAGGAGGCTCATCTTTAGCTCCTTATAAGTCAGCCTTTCCCATCCCAGTCAAATCTATCTTTACACTTAACTAGAATGCAAGAGTAAGCATCTCCTCTTTTCTCCACCCTCACTTGTCAGTTAGTCCTACTGTAATGTCATGTTGCAATGAAGCTGGAAGCTAAGCCATCAGTGTTTCAAATACCAGCAGGATCATCCATGTTTAAGCAGAGCTTCCAGAGGAAGACAGACTCGGAAGAAAGGGCTGGTGATCTGCAAAGGAGCCAGTGGAAATCGCACAGCTCACAAACGAACACTGGCTGCCTCACTCACTATGGACACATCATCAGGAGGGATCCACAGGAGGAGACGAGGAGCAACAAGGGTGAGGGAGACACTTGGTGACGATTCACCCCTGGAGGAGAGCATCGTGTAAGTGAAATCGGGACCATGAAAGGTGAGAAAGACCCTCACAGTGGTCACACAGAAGGACTTGAACATGTTACCAGGAGTGAGGGATGACGCAGAATCGGGCATCATTTCATTCTGTTGCACAGAAGTCACCGTGAGTTGGAATTGACTCAATGGCTACCTAACTACGGATGTGTCTTTTCTCTAAATTGTAAAAGGTTTAAAACTGAGTCAGTCCCATGAACTTGGACCTCTCCCTTTCCCTTAAGGCCCATCTGGGTTCCTGGGGGTCATGACATGACTTGGTAATTTGAGTAGGGGCTGATTTGCATGGTCCAGAAGACTCAAACTGGCTAAAGCCTATTTGGTTCCAGCTTTCCGTTCGTGGTAACCCCAGTATCCTACCCACAGGCTTTTCCTTTAACTACTACCTCAGAAATAAAAGAAGACACTGATCTTACATAATTTAACTACCTAGAGACCAGAACCAGGTCTTACATACTTTAAATACCTGGAGGTCAGCTCCAAGGCTAACAGCAGCCCTTCTCAACTCCACCAGAAAATGAGCTCATCTCTCCAGTTCCTCAGTGGTTTGTAATATCTTCCCATATTACCTTTCTGAGTCCCTGTGTGGTACGGTTATCGCAAGCCTGTTTGGTGAAAGATCGGCAATTCAAGTCCACCCAATGGTGCCTCAGAAAAAAAGGCTGGCAATCTCCTGAAAAATCAGTTACTAAAAATTCAACGGAGATCAGCTGATACACATGGGGTTGCCATGAGTTGGAATCGACTCAGCAGAAGCCATTTTAAAATCACCTTTCACTTTGCTGTCGGGAGCTTTGGATCTCCTAATAGAATTTTTATAGCGAAGTAACTGGAGCAAACATCCAGCCTCCCTGAGACAAAGCTACTGCAATCTACCCCATTGTTCAGTCTCCAAATAAATGCAGAGAAGACTACTTACAACCAAATCCCATTTGATATACCAGTATCATTTGCTGCCAAAACGGCAGCTTACAAAATTAGGTACGCATTCAATTCTTTCAGCCAATGCACCAAAACAGGAAAAAAAAAAAAAAGGTTCAACGTATAGCGGGAAAGAAAACATGTGCAACTGAAGCATCCGTAGAGATAAATAAAGGCATGTTCAAGAAAGGGAAGAGCTAAAAACAGCTGCAGCAATTAAGGACTGAATTTCACTCCCCGTCGTCTGGGGAAATCCAAGCTTTAAGGTTCTCTCCTTGGTTAATACAGGAAAATAAATACACCAGTTTATCAGCAAAGACAAACACTGTCCTGAAGCTAAAACTAAAAGAACAGTCTTATGTGGATCCTACTATGGAAGGAAAGGAACAAAAAGTGGAGAGTTTTCAACAGCAAGTTTGCTTGGTGAGAAAAACAAAAACCCAAATGATTATCTCCCAGGTGAACAGGTCTTCTGTATTTTATGTCAGGTGGAATGGATATGGGGTTAAGAACCAGCGTAAGTTACATTTGAATCCTGGTAATGTGGTGCCATCAAGTTGATTCCAAATCTTGGAGGCCCCGGCTATTACAGGGCACTACTACTCAACAGGACCCCTGGTGGTGCTGTATGATTAGCACTGGGCTGCTAACTACCAGGTCGGAAGTTCAAACCCACCAGCTGCTCAGAAGGAGAAAGATGAAGTTTTCGCTCCCGGAAGATTTATAATCTCAGAAACCCTATACAGAGTCTCTGTGAGTCAGAATGGGGTTTGGGTTTTGGAATCTTTATGGAAGCAGATTACCAAGGCTTTTCTTCTGTAGTACCACTGGGTGGGTTCGAACCACCAGCCCTGTGGTCACCAGCTGAATGCAAACTGTTTGTGCCACCCAGGGATCTTGATTTGAATCACAGCAATTTCCAAACTGAAAATCTTTATGTGAACAGAAAGTCCCATCTTTCTCTCGGGGAGCAACTGGTAGATTTGAACCTTCAACCTTGCGATGAACAGCCCAATGCTTAACCCTCAAAAGAGTGTTACTCAAATTGGGGTTCACAGACCACTGCATGTCCTCACACTGTGGCTGGTCTGCAGTAAACTAAGTACAGAAATTGAGAGTGAGCATTTGAAATTTTTTATAGTATCACTCCAACATCCAAGCGCTTTTAGGCATCATAAGTAGATGGAGTTTGGAAAGGAATGGCAGGAACTCCATAGAAGACTGGCAGACTTGATTTTGGTGTATTTTGCTGGTGGTGGTGTGCCATTGAGCCAGTACCAACTCACAGCTACTAGTAACAAACCCTCGGTGAGTGTGGGAATGGAAGACTGAGAGTTTCCGTTAAATCTGATAGATCCACTGCTCTGTTGGATCTTCCACCGGTATAAGACTTCCAAGGCTATAACTCTGCATGGGAGCAGAAGCCTCATCTTGCTGGTAGATTCAAACTTGTGATCCTGTCGTTAGGAACCCAATGAGTAACCACTACGCTACCAGGGTTCCTTTTACTGTTGTTGTTATGTGCCGTCGAGTCGGTTCCAACCCATAGCGACCCTGTGCATGGTTTCCGAAGCTGTAAATCTTTACGAGAGCAGAGAGCCTCATCTTTCTCCCACAGAGCGGCTGGCAGTTTCGAACTGCTGGCCTTAAGGTTCGCAGCCCGATTCATAACCACTATGCTACCAGAGCTCCTTTTACTAGTGCTTCATTATTATTATTATTGTATTTTAATTTTATCCATCTACTCCAG